TTAGTTCTAGGTTGCTTCTCTCCTTGATCAGTTTCCATCCGTTGCTTCTTGTCTTGCCTTCAGGCACTTTGGAGAATAGCTTGACTCCCTCTTCTTTGTGGCAACCCCTGAGATACTGGAATACTGCTATCATGTCCCCCCTCGTCCTTCTCTTCGTTAAACTAGACATACCCAATTCCAGCAGCCGTTCCTTATATGTTTTAGCCTCCAGTCCCCTGATCATCTTTGTTGCTCTTCTCTGTACTCTTTCTAGAGTCTCAACATCTTTTTTACATCGTGGTGACCAAAACTGGATGCAGTATTCCAAGTGTGGCCTTACCAAGGCCTTGTAAAGTGGTATTAACACTTCACGTGATCTTGGTTCTATCCCTCTGTTAATGCAGCCCAGCACTGTGTTGGGCACGAAAGCATCAAGGACTGAGTGTAACTCAGGCAAGCTTTAACTTTGTCCCAACATCTAGCTAACCATGGGTGACCTCAGAAAAGCTGAGCAGAGATGAGCCAGGTTAATACTTCAATAGCCATAGCACTTAGACTTATATACCGCTTCACAGTGTTTCACAGCCCTCTCTAAGCAGTTCTTGCCCCCCAACAACCAGGGTCCTCATTTTACTGACCTTGGAAGGTTGAGTCAGCCTTGAGCTCTGTCAGGATTGAACTCCAGGCTGTGGGCAGAGCTTGCCTGCAATAGTAGAGCCATGATTGCGCAGTGGTTAGAATGCAGTAACCAGGAGTTTGATTCTGACTGGCTCAAGGTTGAATTCAGCCTTCCATCCTTCCAAGGTCAGTAAAATGAGGACCCATATTGTTGGGGGCAATATGCTGACTCTGAAAACCGCTTAGAGTGGGCTATAAAGCACTATGAATTGGTATATAAGTGTAAATGCTATTGCTATACTGCACTTTAACCACTGTGCCACCAGAGCTCCTAATACATACTTCGATGTATTACTTAATCAAAAAAATCACCAAATAATACTTCACCAAAAGTTCCTTGTTTTCAAAACAGAAGTCATTTCACAGGAAGGTAATGGAAAGCCACTCCCATACAATTGTTAATAAAATGGCAGAGATTGCCCATGTAGTCCCTGGTAGTTCATCTTCCCTTGAAGGAAGTGGAGGGGGTACTACTGAAGAGCAAATATTTCCCCTTTCCTAAGACTGACCAATTAAGCACACATTAATTAAGGGAGATGGGTGATCTGATTTTGATGTTATCCATTCACTCGTGTCCAACTCTTGGCAATTGTCTGGGTCAGGTGACTCCACATTTTCTGACCTTGCACCACTTCTTTGAGTTTTGCTATGCTCTGGCTGGTTTCATCTTTAATGGTTGGGTGGTCTAGGGAACACAAAATATAAATAAAATAAAAAATGGTGCCTTATTCATTACTATCGAGGAACAGATTCCATTTGTTGACTGACTGCAATCAAGCTCCCAAGAGGATGGGTCCATGTTTTATTTTCATTTTCTTTTTAAATAAGACAGGCTTATCATTAGTGGGACATGAACAAGAGTCTAACCCAAACTATTTTTGTAGTCTATTGACAACCTGCCCGGGTCAAAGGAGAATAAATTGATCCCAGTCGAAATGCTTCATTTGAAATCAACAGTTTAACCTTTTGGCCCCATTTACTCTGTCGGGATGGTGAGGAGGTAAAACTCTTAAATCAGATTCAGTGGGAGATCAAAGCTCCATCAGCAATCGCAGTTGTGTTTTCCCGAGTTATTTAGGAATATTCACATGGACAAGAAATTCAGAAGCAGTTGCTTTTCTGTAAATCTGTAGAACTGATTGCTAGCAGAGAACCTGGCGTGTTTTTTTTTTAAAAAACAAAATATATATCCCATCTATTTTCAGATGAAATTACCTTTTTAGAAAAGGGATTGGGAAAAAGGTAGCACAGGAATGCATTTGCACCTCCTATAAAGCTGCTGGTGATGATTTGAAAAGTCCTTAAGGCTAAGTTAGCTGAACAATTATCCTTATGTCAACATTCACCTACCCAGAACCCACTCCTGGCTTTCGATTAGTAAAAGTTGGAAAGAGAAGAATTAAGGTTAGATGAGATACTTTTGATAAAAATTCTGCATTTGGGACAATTTATCCACCTTTATTCCTGTCCAGCTTTAAATGGGCTATGAGACACTTTTTATTATGTCAGGCTTGTAATGGTCTTTATTTTTATTCTCCTTGGTGGCTTGTAAAGGAAGCCTTTTGCTGCTATGTGTATTTAATCTGTTTGATATATTGTTTTAAATTTTATAACGATTCTTCTCTGGTTACTCCTTTACCTTTTTTTTTTTAACAGTGAAAACTGGGGCAAATGTGTCAAGAATATAAGAACAGCCCTGCTGGATCAGGTCAAGGTTCACCTTAGTCCAACATTTGGGATCTTATCGGGAACCAACCAAGTGAATCTGGAATACAGGCAGGAGATAGTAGGATATAGCCTCTGTCCCCCATTGTTCTCCTGCAACTGCTTTTCCCAATCCAGAGGTAATGAGTCTTCAAGATTAATCCCCTTTTAAAGCCAATTAAGTTAGTGGCCATCACCCAGTCTTTGGAATGTCTGTCTGTCTGTCTGTCTGTCTGTCTGTCTGTCTGTCTATTGAGATAGATAGATAGATAGATAGATAGATAGATAGATAGATAGATAGATAGATAGATAGATAGATAGATAGATAGATAGATAGATAGATGATAGATAGATAGATAGATAGATAGATAGATAGATAGATAGATAGATAGATAGATAGATAGATAGATAGATCCCATTGACCATCTCGATAGTCCTAGATGGTGAAATTGGAAGGAAAATAGACCTGGTCTAATTTCACTATATTATGTATATTTTCAGAAAGTGAAATTTGGTTTCAAGGTAATAAGAATATTGGGCAACATTGGTCTTTAGGGTTTAGTGGCTGGCATCTTTAGAAGCAAAGATGGTCTTCTTGTCTAGACCGGTCACTAAACTCTGAAGAGCAACACAGCACAACAGATACTCTTCATAAAAGCCTACACCAGTATTTTTTTCCCAGACATGTTGCCAGTTAATGACCTCCCTCTCCATTAAATGCACATATCTGCATTAGTTGGGTTGGTTGGTTGGGTTCCTGTAACAAACTAAACCTACACAAGACCCATTGGACAACGTCATGATGTGTACTTTGGAGAAATGGGAGCTTGCTTTGGAGTTTTGGGAATTGCAAAGGACTTATGAATTGAAAAGAAATGAAATTGTGATTAGTACTATCATTTTGTAACCCTTGGTGTCAGAAAAAAAGAAAACGTGATGTCCATAAACTAGGCAATTGGTCTTGGGTTTGTTGTTGTTTTCGTCTTTAGGTAATGATGGCTTCACCCAGCTTCGGTGATAGGTATATTTATCTGTAGAATGGGGAAAGTGGGAAGAGAAAGAAAACATCACAACAGCTTCTTTAAGCTGCCTTTAATTAGCTCTAAAGTCATTTTTGCAGCCAGCAGATTAATCAGGGAGGCATGTTGAGTTCTAGCCAAGCTTTTTATAAGTTCTTAAAAGGGTTTTGTCGCCCTCCTTCCTTTTGCTCACGATAGAACATTATCCCACAAGTCTGCCTCAGCTATTACATAAACTTCTTTTATTAGACTTTCTGGGTCTTGTCAGGGTGAGACAGATACTTCAAGGACTGACCCTGGCAACATCATTGACAGCTGGGTTATTTTTCTCCAAGTTAAATTCTGGTGGGATTGGTTAGAGAGAAGTAGTTTTAAGAGTTTTTCTTCTTCTTTCTAATCCTACCGGGTTCATAGCTCCAGAAGCTGAAGCTGTGAAACAAAGACAGGCAAGTAATGGAGAAGTTATCCAGTAAAAACAAAATGGGAAAGGAAGGTCAACTCATCCAAGTCTAATTCCAGAAAGACAGAGGGATGACTTTTTTTTCTGTCCTCCTGTCCTTGTTCTTCAGCAACATTGGCTACATAGCAGTCCTTGATCAACCTTTGCCAACCTGTTCTGCTCCCAGAATTCCCAACTCCTTAAGGTCAACTTTGAGGAACTTGGCCTGTTGGTCATTGGCATAGACTGCGGGAAGCCAGAAACTGCATCTTTGTGGCCTTAGAGCCCCTAAGATGACCTCACTAAAACTCACTAGTGACTTGAGGGAGGTACAAATGAGTAAGTTGCTATGTATTAAACTATTGCAAGCCTGAAGAGTGCCTTCAAAGATCTCCAGGTCACCGCAAGCATGGTGGCTTGTAATTGTGATTTGTTAAGCAAGCTCCAGTTACTTGGGCTCATACATGGCACCGTCAAAAAACAACAACTGGACTGTACCATCCATCTTTGCCCACTCTGCTAAACCAAGACCGAAGAAACCAGAGTGAGTCTGACGGGTGTGCCTAATTTTGAAGTGTGTCTTTAAGAGCTTGCCAGTGTCCCTTCTTTGTGCCCCACTGCTTCCCTGGACTTGTGTGTCTCGTGTCCGTCTGCAGGCCTCTCTGATTTCACTGGGAGAGAAGCAGACACACCAAATGGCCTCAGAAGGTCCTCTGGAACGGATCAGCCGGTCAGCTGAGAATGCCTGTCAGGCAGCCAAGTTCAACCGTCCGCTCCTCCGGTCCCTCTGCCCGAAGGACTATGCAAATTTGCCTCTTTCTCCGCTTTTCCCCTCGCCAGCTATCCTACATGCCTCTGGCGGTGCACTAAACACCCAGACCTTTTGCTGAGAGCTTTTCTTAATCCCCTGGATTCTTTATATAGGAATTAATCTCTCCGCCACACTGGGAGAGCAGCAAAGAGACAGGAGATCTGGGTGGGAAGCTGATGCCTATGTCTGTATGTGTATTTGTTTCGTATGTGGAGGTCTAGAACGGTATTTCTTTTTTTTTTTTTAATTCTCTCCTGATCTGGATTGAGCTGCTCTCCTTGATCAGGCCAAGGGACAACAGCAGTTGGGGAAAAAAAAAAACTTTCTGTTGGCATTTAAAAGTTTTGGGGTGGGTTTCAAGCATAGCAACATGGCTGAGCAAGGAAGTAGTGGCTTGCAGGTTCTTCTCTCTACTTTTCAGGTAAGAAACTAGCTGGAGAGAAATCTGATGGCTATGTGGCTCCTTTCCCCCCCCCCTTTCCCTCAAGACAAGCCGGGGGGGAATTATCTAGTGGTGGAAGCTTTGATATATTACACTTCCTGCATCCCAAATCAGAGGAGAGCATTCTGTGCACTAGTCACGGTGGATGTATGAAAAGAGGCACTGCTATGCGGCAGGAAGTCTGCCTTCAGATCTCCCCTCTGCTACGGACTTCACCATGTGGCTGTTCACCCCCCCACCCCACCCCAGTTACACCTTAGGTACAATGCTTCTGAAATATCTCACCTAAGAGAACATGCCGTGCACCCAGAATATTTGACTATTGAGTGATGCTTGAAACGTATTATGGTTGGACTGGAGTTATGAGGGCAGGTCTTTTTTCCCGTCTCTTTTGCAAGCTTTGGTTGTCTTCAGTTTTAGAGTAAAATGGTATTTTTTTCCCCTATGCTTTTAAAATATTTTTTTTTAAGATAAGAGCTTTGCTAAACAGGTGACAAGCCTGGGTTCAAATCTGTTTAGGGAGACAGATATCTGTCTGTCTGTCTGTCTCTCTCTCTCTCTCTCTCTCTCTCTCTGTGTGTGTGTCTCTCTGTCTGTGTCTTCTCTCTCTCTCTCTCTCTCTCTCTCTCTCTCTCTCTCTCTCTCT